CTCAGCTTCTGCCAGAAGCAGCCCTCCTGGTCCAGTTAGCAGTATCATCAGGCAGCTGTGGTCTCATAGTACAAATGAAGCCTAGGGATCAGGGGTGGAGTGTGGGGAAAAGAAACAGCAGTTCTCAGGAGAAGTAGGATGTTGTGTGTCAGGCATACATTTAAAAAGGTGTCCATTTCATCCTGTGTGATAGGAGTTCAGATTCCCATTTGTTACTCATGAACCAATTGAAGATTAAGGGAGTTAAGCAACTTGTTTCAGGGTACATGTAAGTGAAACAGACAAGATTCAAGCATAGCCTATCTAATTTCCAAGACTTACTTTATTACATGTTGTCAGAGGAGGATGGGCAGGACAGGTGAAGGAATGTGTTATGTGGTGAACTGTATTTTCCAAAAAGGGTACAACAGATATCTCCCACCAGACAGGATCTTCTTCAAATATAACGTTGAGATAAGAGGGCTGTGGTCTTTCCCTTGACTATGGAAGGGTTTGTGACTATGGCAGAAGTAACACTATAGGATTTTTTGAGGTTAGGTCATAAAAGATGATATGATACAGCTTCTGCAGGAGCTCTTGGAATGCTCAGTCTTGGAACCTAGCCACCATGCTGGGAGGAAGCCCAAGCCTACCCCTGCAGAAAGACCATATGGAGAAATCTTGAGATGAGATGAGAGAGAGAGAGAGAGAGAGAGAAAGGATGGGCCTGGCCTTTGCTTCCCTCAATTCTCACAACCCCTGATTGTCAACTGCCTCAGCCCCCACCTGTCCCCACCTGCCCCACTTTTAGCCATCATCTGACTACAATCTCATGATGGAATTAGATCCAGAATAGCCCACCAGAACCTTTCTCACATTCCTGACCATGCCACTGGTTGCTGAATTGTTCCACTTTTATGGCCACAGTAATTCCTGCATCTGTTCCTTCTGCTCCATTTGCACTAACTATAAACTGTGAGAGATTATATGACTGTTGTTGATGCTAAATTTTGTAGGGAGATTATACAACATAGTAATCAGAACAGCATACTCTGAGAAACAGAAGTCTTCAGAAGGACATGAGAGCCACCATCAACTATCTGAAGAGTTTTAAGTCTAAGAGGAGTTAGACTTGGAATGTGAAACACTAGGTAGTGGTTCTATCACCAGGTGGAATTTACAGGGAGGCAAATTTGATTCTTCATGGAGGCCTTCTCTAGGTGTAAAACTCGAGAATGAGTCGCCCAACTGTGTGTTTAGCTTTTCCTCAAATTTGACTACATTGTCACCAGCCATTTAAGCAGAGGATAGATGGCCACTTTGGGGGCTATTGTAAGTTCCTGGAAGACCCCAACAGGCACCTTCCAACTCTAAAATGACATAACTCCTAATGAATTTAAGGCTAAACTCTTTTGAAGAAGAAACATTTAACAAACTTTATCTTAGAAGGTGTGAGGACTGATCTGGGCCTTTAAAATTGGAGAGGGCTGGGAAAGCAGAAGGAAGAGCCACTCTGCAAAGAACTAACGGCAACACCAAATTAATCGTGCCCCTCTCACCTGTCATCTTTCACATGTATTTATGACCTTATGGACCATCATCCTTCTAGTCCCTATCCTAGTCACTTGCAATCCTTTGCCTTCCTCAGTTCTCACATGCCACTGCTTGCTGAATTGTTCCACTTTTATGGCCACAGTAATTCCTGCGTCTGTTCCTTCTGCTCCATTTGCACTATCATTAGCTTTGTTCACGTTATCGTCACCTTTCATCTGGATGACTGCAAAAGCCCTTTGGATGGATAGAGTGTTGTCCGATTAATTACCCTAAAAGAATGCTCTCAGCGTGTCAGTCGCTGGCTCTAAATCCCAAACCTTCATGAGATTCCCATTGCCTTTAGAATGAAAATGAAATTTTTAGGCACTCAATACTTTCACAATGTTGCAGAGAATGAGGGAGAAAGGGAAAAGGGAGAAAGAAAAAGAGACAAAGATTAGTATTAGTAGTCTGTATTAGTTATGACTGCCATGACAAATTATCACAAACTGGGTGGCATAAAACAACAGACATTTAGTACCTCAGAGTTCTGGAGTCTAAAACTCCCAATCAAGATGGTCAGCAGAGCCATGTTTCCTCTGAAGGCTCTCGAGAAGAATCTACCCTTTCTTCTTCCTAGCCTCTGGTGGCTTCTGGCAAACTTCAGCATTCCTTGGCTTGCAGCTGCATCTTTCCAATCTTTGCCTCCCTCTTCATAGGGCCTTCCTCCCTGTAGGTGTGTCCACATCTCCCTCTCCTTTCTCTTACAAAGACATTAGTCATCGGACTTAGGGCCACACTAACACAGTATGGCCTCATTTAACTTAATTATTTCTGCTAAGACACTATTTTCCAAATAAGGTCACAATCACTAGTACTGGGGGTTACAAATTGAATGTATCTTTGGGGAAACAAGTTCAAACCTCTACAATTCCCATTGGTAGAAACTGTCAGAACAATGGTTTAGCATGGGAATGGCATCTTGTTTGTGACAAGATCCTGGATGAAATAAAGAATTTTAGGCTGGGCACAGTGGCTCATGCACTTTAGGAGCTCGAGGCAGGTGGATTGCTTGAGCTCAGGAGTTCGAGACCAGCCTGAGTAAGAGCAAGACGCTGTCTCTAAAAACTAGCCAGTCATGGTGGTGCTTACAGTTCCAGGTACTCAGGAGGCTGAGTCAGAGGGACCCTGTGACTCAGGGGAGCAGCGGCTCATGAGTTTGAGGCTGCTGTGAGCTATCCCATGGCACTCTACCAAGGGCAACAAAGTGAGACTTTTGTCTCAAAGAAAAAAAAATTAGTTAGAGTGGAGGTAATATTAAATAGGATAGGCCAGAACAATGAATAGTATGCATGATCAAAGGCTAAAATTTTGTTTTTGTGAAAAAATCAGTCTGGAAGTTGGATGTAGGAGAGATTATAGGTGTTAAAGTGAAGCCCAAAGGAGAGGAAGTGGGTACAGAACTAGACTGTTACCCCTAGAGGGCTGGAAATGTCACCTCATTTGTTCACTTCTTTGTTCTTTTTTTTCTTGAGACTCTTGTCTTGGGTAGAGTACTCATGGTGTCATAGCTCACAGCAACCTCAAACTCTTGGGCTCAAGAGATCCTCTTGCCTCCTGGGTGGGGGGACTATAGGTGCCTGCCAATACTGACACCCACCTAGCTTGTTCTGTTTTTAGTAGAGACAGCTCTTGCTCAGGCTGGTCTCGAACTCCTGACTCAAGGGATCCACCCACCTCTGCCTCCCAGAGTGCTAGGATTACAGCCGTGAGCTGTGTCTGCCACCTCTTTGTTCTTGACGGCCCATACCCAAGAGCCTACTGCAGCCTCGGTCACATAGTAGAGTGCTCAGAACACATTTGCTGAACAGACGAACGGATGGATCGGGTAGAACTGCAGCAGCAGCAATGGACAAGAGGAGAGATGCAGCAGGCCCTGCAGAGGTGGACTGACTTAGCTGACCCTGCAACAAGTTAGGAGTGAAAAAGTATCCTCGACCCTTGTTACACAGCAGATGTGGAAGATTGGTTCCAGGAACACCTGAGGACACCCAAATCCACAGATACATCCCACAGTCAACCCTGAGGAACCAACAAATACAAAATACTGGACATCCGGATTTGGCCACTGCATTTTGATCAGCCCTTGATGGGAAAAAATCCCTGTAAAAGTGGACTTGTACTATTCAAACCCGTGTGTTTCAGGAGTCAACTGTAGTATTAAGCATCACTCAGAGTCAGGTCCACAGCTTGGTACATACGCGTTGGAGACAGACAACCTCCTTCAGACCGCCTGCCTCACACTGTCAAGCACAGTCTGTGTCTCCACCTCATTTCTCCCACCTTGGCGTGTGCCTCTGGAGTACCATGCACACCGTTACTCACATTCACGTGTGGCCTTTACAGTACCCTGCACACACCGGGAGCTCAACACAACTCCCAATAAATGGATTTCTACATTTAAGCAACATGAATAGGTCGCAGGATCTGAACTCCGCATTTTGGACTTTTGTATGCTTCAAAATGCCTGCCACCCTGTTAGCGCCCCATCAGCACTTGTAGTATCAAACAGAATAAATCAGATTCGCCCAGTTCAGCCCTGGCAGCGAGGTCTGCATTTGGCAGGATGACAGAATTCGCTGCTATTAAATTCTTATGTAAGAGTTAATGACCCTTCCAGCCCACTTGACATCCCTCCCACGACAGGAGAGGAAGGCAAAGGAAGCGAGAGCACTATTTACAAACACACAGTTTCAGTGGCAGATTCACAGATTAATTTCTAGTCTCGGTTCACCGCAAAAATCTTAAAAATACTGCTGTATGCTCTGTGGGCAGAGGGAGGCGGCGCGCCGGGATTTCAGTTAAGGCGCATTTAACTCGGTGGGGAAGGCCTGCCCACCTGGCACGGCGAGTCGGAGTCTTCCGACCGCCCCAGGGCTCCGGGCTTGCGGGTGACAGCGGCCCAGACGTAGCTCGAGCTCAAGGCCGTGTCCGTGGGGTCCCCGCCGCCGCGGGTGCAGGCTTGGCCCGGTGCCCCCGGGGAACAACGCGAGCCGCCCCGGAC